TAATAAAACAGTTGAACCTCACTGATTCAGAGATCTTTGCCTCCAACACAAAGCTCGCTGCATCGTTTAACGGCGTGAAGGTTCAGATAAGAAGCCCGTCAGCGTTAAACTGTCACTGCGGAGTTCATTAGAGGCTTCGCTCAATACCGACTCCTGTGTCTGAGTAAAGTCACTAAGTGGTATTAGAGGGTAATTAGAGGAGGCATCAGTGGAGCTGCTCCAACCAGATCCTACATTAGTCTGGACGTTTAACAACTTCTGTCGCTCTGCAGAACTACAGACGAGGAGTAAAAAAAACTCACATCGTCGAGGGAAACGGTCCCAGAAACACCTTCATCCTCCTCACGGTGCTGCTATTAAAGTCTTGTTAGGCCGTCAGGGGCTGAGACATAAACTAATACTGAGTTCAAACGTTGAGTAATTGTGCGAGAACCAAACGTTGTTATGCTACATTTCATACATGAGAAGACATCCGTTGGTCTCCTCAGCAGCAGCAGATCAGCTGTGATGCATCGACCCGCCTCACGCTGAGACACTAAACTCAACAAAACAAACCTCTGAAACACATCAAGGCCTTTTTCAATCAGCAGCCAGTTTGTTACTCTTTTTTTCTTTTAAATAAAAAAAAATCCACTAACAAACAAATCTCCACCAGCAGCAGTGTTTCTGTCTGACCTGGAGAAGTGAACAACAAGACTAGATGACTTCATTGATGATAATAATTACAGTAAAGAGTGACAATAATAAATAAATGTTCTTAAACAGCCAGAAACCCCACGTGGCTGCATTTTAAAACCAATTCTGTGCTTCTGGAGACAAATTTGTGCATTTTAAAGCAGATTAGGTTTTTTTTCTGGCCTATAAAAGCAAAAGAAAACGTAAAAATAATAAAAAATACAGCGCAAAGACGACTGTTCTGAATGTTTCAAATGGAAGCGGAAGCCGGCCAGAGAAATATCTAATGAAGCGCTTTTCATCGCAGCACAAAGAGTCTGGAGGAATGTCGCCTCTTTCTGAGGGACAAAGGAGGCGTCTCGGCCTCCCAGAGCCTAAGAATGTGTTCAGACTCCTATGGATGGAAACTTTCCTCTCTTCCGCACAAAGTGAAGCCACAGGAGCAGCAGCAGGTACTCACTCATCTGCCGGTCTCCGTAGCTGATGGCCTCGGCCAGGGGGCTCCAGCCCTGAGCGTTCTTCACCTTCACAGGGGCGTTATGGGCCAGCAGCAGGTGGGCGCACTCTGCAATCAGACAGACAGGTACACGATCAATCAGTCAATCAATTAACCAACCAATCAAAAAAACCAACCAAGCAACCACTCAATCAACCAATTAATCAACCAACCAACCAACCAATTAATCAAACAATCAATCAATCAATTCACCAACCAACAATTAGCAACCAATCAACCAACAAACCAACCAACCAACCAACCAACCAACCAACCAACCAACCAACCAACCAACCAACCAGCCAGTCAATCAACGAACTAACCAACCAACCAATTAGCCAACCAACCAACCAACCAACCAATCAGTCAACCAGACTTAAATTCTCTAACACTATTCATACAAACAGAAACAACAGCGATCAATGACTTTTCCTGGTAGGCTGCTGCATTTTTTATTTTCTTAACCAGCCGTGTTACAGGCGCTGTTCGGAAAAAAGCTTTTACATATTTGTGTATGTTATCGATACGTATTTAATGAAAAGATTAAAATATTTTTCTGTGTAAATATCTCATGTTACAACGTGGACACCTGCAGCTTATAGACGAGTGCGTCCTGTATATGTACAAACTAGTTTTCTTTTTAAAGTCAGTGGGTGTGGCTTATATTCAGGTGCCTCAATAGTCTGGAATTTACGGTAATTTAATGAGTTGAGCGGGCTCATCATTTTCAGTCGAACTGGCTCAAGTTATAAGAAGTTTTGAAGTGGTCAAACAAAAAAGGAGAGAGAGAAATTAAAGTTGAATTAACCAGAAGTGACCTCATAGATGGACATTAAGTGAACTAATGTAAAACTGATGGTTCACAAACAACTGGATTTAAAAACTACACCAAAGATGTATGTTTGAAGAAAAAACCCACTATTTCCAGTGTTGTTGTACGATTTTCCACTTTTCTCCTGAACTTCCTGGCAGCACCTCTGATGTTGCTATGGTAACTTACATATTATGCGTCCAGCTCTAATTTTACATTCAAACTGTCCTTCCTCTGGGAAACCGACCAGGAGATTTGCAGCGAGTCGTGCTACAGGTGTCGGACGCTTCCTGCAACACATCCGACTCAAACCGGAGACGTTTCCGCAGCATCAGATGAGCGATTTAAAAATAATCCTGGTTGTGCAGAGGGACAGATTGTGCATAGGATTGAGATGACAGTTGACCCATTAACCGAGCAGCCATATGGGACCTGCAGTTACACAAGACTCAGCATCCTCCGGTAGAGTCGGCGCTGCTGTGAAACCGGGACAGATTGTGAGGAATAAAATGTCAGGCCTCGCAGACAGAGCTCCCCCGGCGCTGTGCAGAGTCGCCCTGTACTCCAACAACTGGCCGGCAGCCAGAGCGCTCGGCTCAGCAGTAAGTGCAGCTCCAAATCCCTCCACTCTCCGGGCAGCTCGTCAACAAACTGCAGCCGGCCAAAACCCGAGCCCGTTGTTCCGGCTCAGCTGTCGCTTCTGTCCTGACATCATCGGTGGAGATGCCGGCGTCGGTGCAGCTCGGCCTCAGCGGCGCTCGGAGAGGCCGAGTGGACGTCTGGTGGAGGATGCGGGCGTTCCTGAGTGGTGTTTAACTGTGGCGCTATTTGGAACAATTCACTGTTATATTTGTGGGATTAATACAGGCTGATCTTACTGCACAGATTTAGCCTGTTTTGCAGAATTACTGATAATAACGAGTACAATCCCCCCAAAATATTAATTTGCATGTTAACCCTGAAAAAAAAGGGCCGAAAATAGAAATATTGCCCCCTTAAAAAATCTGCATTTTCACAAATAATAACTTCTACCATAAAATTACACTTTGTAAATCAACAAATTCATTTTTCCACATTTCTTTCAAGGTAAATTAAGGATTGAAAAAATGTAAATAACTTTTCAAACAGTTATTTTAACAGATATTTTCCCTGTTTTGCAAAATTACAGAAATAAACTAGTAAAATCCTCCCCAACAAAAAATATTAATAATAATTAATATATAAATGTATAATTAATATTTACATCTTAACCCTTAAAAAACAGGCCTAAATTATCAATAATGTCCAAATTAAAACGCTGCCCAAATCTGTCTTTGTGACTGTAAAGATACAGTTTACTGTATTTAAATTCGCAGAACAAAAATCTTTATTCAACAGATATTTTGCGTTAATTAAATAAAACAATATGTACATTAGAAACCAAAATAAAATAGTAAATAATTTGTCATCATATTTTTTAAGTTAAATGATCTATAATAAATATTAAAATCACAGAAAAATATTAATTTACATGTTGGCATATAATGAAACAGGCCAAAATTGTGAAAAACATATTTATGAAAAGTAGTTTGACGGAAAAATTTGTTTTACTGTATTTAAATAAGAAAAACAATATTTTATTTTATTTCTATTGTATTTGTGTATATATAATGTTTTTATAATATTATTATAGCGTAAATAACCTATAATATCTTATTGAATAAAAAATACAATACATGTAGTCAACAAACATTTCTTTACACAATTAAAGTTGTTTTCTTTTTGATATTTAAATCAGCTAAAAGATGCTGTTGTTTTACAGACACTTCCTGTTATTTTTACGTTGTTGTTTTTGTTTTGTTTTTTAACAGTTTTTTTTGGGAACCCTCGTCTCCAGAATGTTTTTATCTTCTGGCTGCCTCTCACAGTCGTCTGACCGGACTTCTCAGGAATCATGTGAGGAAACAAAAGCCTCCGATGCTGAAGGTTCAGCGGTGAGTCATGTGAACAAACTCAGACCATCATCCTGTTCAGACTCGTCTCTCTGCTAAAGAGACAAAGCGACTCAGAACCTGTCCTCCGGTGGTGAATTCACAGAGTCAACCTGAAATAATAAGGAGTGGATGCATGTATTATTAACCAGCCAGAGGCCGGGCTCTCATACATTCTTAATGGCAGAGAGGAAAGTCTCCCTAATTAAACACATTATCCTCACAACAGAGCGAGCTGGTCGTCCCCAGAGTGCAGTTAGAGCAAAATAAAAGGGCACGTTGTGACAGCGACGCCACGTTCTGCTCAATGATCAGCAGCTTCAGGATGGAAACGTGGCGAAGACGGTCACAGAGAGCGAGTCGGGTCTCTGGGCGTCATGGAGGCTCCAGAGAGGAAGCCCGGCCTCCCGGAAACGTCGCAACGCATCTTAAACTTCTGGCTGGACGCTACCGGACAGACAAATACGGATATTAAGGAATAAAGCATGGTCTTTCAAACTGTTATTTTACAGATTTTCAGCTGCGACATCATGAGAAGCAGCGTCGGCGCCAAACACGACGACTGCAGCTGCAAACATCAGCCAACCGAACGGCAGAACTCTGAGCTCCTGCACCAACCAGCTGATGTTGAGAAAACACCGAGAAGCAGCAGCTCGGTGACGCAGGCCTCGGTTCCCCAGAGCCGCTGACCCACATATGGCTGCCGGACCCGATGGTTGCGTAACGAGAACGTTTGGCAGATACACATGACGTCACCTCCAGAGAAGAGCCGGAGGCCGGAGCTGCTCACCTGCCAGCTTCTGGTCTCGTTAAACAACAACGACTGCAGAAGTCTGACTTTTATGGACGGAGTCGGTCCGTTTCAGCGAAAATCCTTCAGTTCTGCCCCGGACTCCCTCAGAACCAGAATCAGCTGATTCTTTACCTACAATGGGTTTAATCTATTTACAGTTTTTGCCTGTTTTTTAGTGTTAACATGCATATTTTGCTGTAATTTTAGTAGTTAGAACCTGTATTGCAACAAAACAGGAAACATCTGCAACTAACAGCAAATTACTTTAAAAAAAATATTGATAAAAACATTACATTTTACAGTGTAACCCAGTGGTGTTTACCTGTATATGTATATATGATGTAGGTCTGCACTACAGAGCTCAGTTCAGGTCACTAAGTTTAATCAAACCCATGAACATTTAGCCTATAAGTCATTAAACAAGCTGATGTGACGGTATTGATGAGATTCCTTTACTGTCATTGTATACACGGAGCACACACAACGAGATTCAGCCTGATAAAGTATTGATAAAGTATTGATAAGGGATTTTTCCCTGTGGGCTGCTGGACCGGCTGCAGCTTCATGCAGGTTCTGTTCAACTCACAAACAGCTCCAGACGGTGAAATGAAGCATTAAAGCTAAAACATGAGCAGACTGGTTGTTAGAAACCTTCAGCTGTGATCAGGTCTGAGCTCCACAGACGTCCTGGTCCAGTTTTCTTTTTGCTCCGATCTGATCTGAGTCATTTAATATTCAGGATCTGATACCGTTTTCCAAACCACTCCGATGCTTGACAATTAATTTTTCTGCAGTATATTAAGAATGAAATGCATTTCTGTTAACCTTCACCCTAAGGGAGTCATTGAAACTTAGCCAAGCTTCTCACGTGTAAAAGTGTTGAACGAAGCAGGACACTTCCCTAAACTGAACCAATAAACAAGTGAAAACAAAAACTGATCGTACTTCGTCCATCACAGGACACGACTCTGGTCTCCTGGTGTGAGTTTTGGCTTTGCTTTATTCAAACCTTTCCTTTACTACGACGCCACACGAGACAAGTTATGTTTATTTCAGAACAAAATTACGTTCCCCTCAAAACATAATAGAGATTGTAGTTTAGTTGAATAGAAATGTATCGCAGACCAGCTGTAGTACCTGGCTGTTCCACCAGGTGGAGCCTCTCACTGGGTTTAGCAGCATCAGGCACCATGACAGAGACTCTGAGGAGGTTAATGACCTCCAACCAGAGCTCAGGTGTTTAAGACAAACTGGGATCAACCTGCACTACGTTTACATATCCAAGTGGTTTAATATGCGTTGTTGATTTATTCATACAGTTGTTACTCAATGATCCGATGCTAAATGTAAAACCTTCTTTTATGTCGGATAGCAAGGCTGTCGGATTGTCAAGACGGAGGTCGAGATACAGGAAGGGCTTGATGTTTGAAGGGTGATTTGTTGTTAATATTTATTGTTCGTAGTTATTATAATAACTAGTGTATTATTAGAACACTACGTATCGCTGGATTTCACGTGTAACTGACGGTGCTCGTTCCGGCCACTTCCATCCCAGGGAGTGCTCAGACGGGGTGGAAGATATGACGTTATCCTTACTTGTGACACACAATGTCGTGTTGGAGTCGGAATCCAAGCTGTCAGTATGTCAAGGCTAATTTTAATGGGTTCAGTTCATTTTTCCTCAAAACCTGTCGGATAGGAAGGTTTTCAGATTGTTAAGGGTCGGACTATCAACTCACGACTGTACTGGATTAATAAGGCTGCTGAGTATTGATTTAGTAAATTATTAAACATTAACATCTCTGGTCTCCCTAACCGACACCTCGCGACAACAAACACAAACATTGTCCTCCATCAGTCCAGATGGGACATCCTGATTCTTTCACCTACACCTTGATTTACCCAATTACACGTTGATTTATTCATATTTAATTAACAACGCTGTCGATTATTGACTCAGTAAATTATTCAAGCGTCTCTAGCATCCTGCTACTACGCCCTTTACCACATCTGTGTCAGAGTGGAGTAAACAAGGACCGGCTCAAGTTAAGAGGCGCTTCAATAAACGCCTCCTCGGCTTTGTTTTTCATCAGATAGGAGCTGAAGAAACAACACAATGACTGAATCAGATCCATGATTTGCATCAACTACAGTGTTAATATGCATCATAAGACTCTAGGTAAACATCTAACGTGCCACTTTAGAGGAACACGCTGGAGCTGTTGTCTCCGTCACTACCAGTTTAAAGACGCCTAACTGCCACCGCTGCCCTGTAAACAACAAAGAGAGGCCTGTCCTCTGAGCCACACCCAGGCTGAGCTCATGCCTGTCTGGCCTCAGCATCCCTGGAGGACACAGCAGCAGCAGATAGGCAACCTCATTAGCACGATCGATGCGGTGGCGTCCCATCAGCCACTCCCGATCACCGATAGGCAGCGGCCAGGCCTCGGCTGCTCTGACAGGAGCTGAGCTGTGTGGATGTGAAATCAATGGGCTTCGGCGACGGACACCGAGCAAACTGGGAACGTTGGGCACATGTAACCCGACGCCTGAGCTGTTTACCGAGAGGCTGCTGCAGGAAAAAAAGGGGGATTAATATTTCAAAAGCATGTTCTCAAGTCTCCCGGTGAAATTAAACGTAAGCATGGAGTCACAGAGGAGCAGCCTGAATGTTTCATGTGCAGGCTTTCAGCGCAGTTCAGCCAAACACAGAATCATGTCAAGACTCCTGTAAAAAATAAACCGGGTTTTAATGTTTAGAACGATTCACTGTCATGGTACAGATCTTCCCTTTTTGTTCAATAACTGTGTTTAAATCCGCAAAAGTATTGATATCTTACAGAGATTTGTTGTTATTTAAAAAATCACGTATATGAAGGATTGAAAGACATGTTAAATATTATTTCCTGTTTTGTTAAATTACAGATAATAACTTACTACTTTAATTTACTAGTTCAACGTTAACAATAAGAAAAAGAAAAAAAAAATCTCAAAGCTGCCCACATCAAAAATCTGTAATTTCACAAATGTGACTGTAAAATTTGACCATTTTTATTGTATTTAAATCAAAAAAATATATAAATTTACAGTTTTTTTTAAAGACAAATTCTGCACTGTAAGTACTGAAAAATTGTGTTATTGTGTTATTGTATAGATTTCCCCTTGTTTTAGCAAACTACAAATAATGTTTAATAAAATTACAAATTGCATTGAATGTAAAAAATGACCAAACCTGTGCGTGATGTCCACATAAAGAAACAGATTTTTACTGATAGTAATTAGTTGTTTTTTTGGCTGTAAAATGAAACTTGTCTACTGCATTTAAATCAAATAAAAATATCATATTTCAGACGTATTTGCTGTTGTTGTCACTGTTTTACCAGTCGTTGGACGTCCCAGTGTGTTTCATGTATTTTTCAGGCACCGTTGCTGCCACATCGTCACTGTTCCATGGTTGTTGTTTGTTTTTTTTTACAGTGTACATCATGACATATTCATGACGTACTCCCAACACAATGTTCGCTGAGCAGGCGCCACACAAACACACGTTTTCATTTCCAGGTATTTGAGGAACATCTGCAGCATGTGTGTGACAAAAGCTCTTTTCACAGCTGCTTCAAACTGAGCTGAAAACTACCACGACGACTGCATCACCTCGGCAGCAGGTGGAAAACTGACAAAGCAAATATGACCAAAGCTGAAAATTACACGTGTGATGTGAGCTAACTACCACATGCAGCGTGTCGTCCATCACAACAACAGAGCAGACACCGAGAGAATCCCGTCTGGTCCCCGAACGGTTAAACTGAATTCCGCCACGAGTGAATAAAAGCAACAATAAAGAGAGAAACTTTCTGCTGAATCCTGATTCTGACCAGGAGGAAATCCATTAACACCGTCTCTTTATTCATGCATGAGCATCTTGCCTTGCGGGAGCTGTGTGGTGATCTGTGAAAAATGTGTGCTGCAGCTCAGACACACAAAAATAAAGTGCGACACAAACAAACAGCACGCAAACACAAACAGAACGACGAGGACACGAGGTCTGAACGCTGCTCACCTTTGTGTCCCATCATGACGGCGAGGTGCAGCGGAGTGTTTCCTGGAAAAGAGAAGAAGCAGAATGTCAGAAACTGACTCTGATAACAACAACAAAGAGACTGTGATGAACAGTTCACTCAGTTAAAGATGAAGTAGAGGCTTGAATTAGGAGACAGAATATGTGACTATTGTGTGTTCTCCTACGATGACAGGTTATATTACAGGATGTTGATCAGCTGCAAATCAAAATAGGATAAAACTACCTGGTAGGGCGGCTGTAATATGAAGCAAGTTTGACTTATCCAGGCTTTCTTTGTGTTAGCCAGCTCAACAAAACCTAAGAAGTAAATAATGCTCCATAAAAGTGGATGTTTAAGAAACTGACCAATCAAGTCTGAGAACATTTATTACAGTTAAAAGCAGAAAGCGCTGCTAGAAAGCTGCTGATGCTGTGAGTTCATGTTTTTATGTCTAACCAACACATCAGAGCTCTGAAACCTCAGACTTCCTTCATTTAAACGTCAACATTTAGGTCTGAAACCGTACCGGAAAGAAGAAGATTATTCAAGTTTTTTGACAAATCAAAGTTAAATTCAAGGCACTGACTGAATATTCTCTGTGATGAATACCAGAACGACCAGTTTTCTGATCTGTCTTCAATCGGCCGCAGTACCAGCAGAGTAAAATCCATTTGGTACCAAATCAGGACCGAACGTAAAAACCCATGAACGCATTTTCTGCATGATCAACTGAATGCATGTAGGTTCACGTGGCAACAAGATACATACAATTCGACGATTCGATTTCATTTAGCAGACGCTTTTATCCAAAACAACGTACGTCCGAGAGCAGATACAACACAAGCAAGGATCTGGTCAGGAGAAGATAATCTGGATAAGTGCCACAGTGCATACAGTGTGCGATACTGTAATTGCACGGCTTCATTTGGTGGGATTACTAACGAGCAGCTCGATAAGTTTACAGATAAAACTTCAGCTGAGAATCTGTATCGCTTACAGAGAATCATCGGGAGAAGAATCCGTCAAAGGGAGATGCTTCTTACAGCCGAATTAAAACCTAAACTCTGAACAGAAC